TCCTCTTGCATTGTTATGCATCATTGGTCATCTTTAAGCGCTTCCTCAACATTTTTGGGTTCTATCTGTGAAACAAAAGTTACAGACATGCAAAAATTAGTCATATTTCTAGTTCTTACCCCTTTTGAGATATCACCAATAATATTTTCCATTGAAAGTCCTCTTGGTGATTTCCATTCTTTAGCTAATACAATCGGTTGAGAAGGCTCATTTTCTTCCAAATACAATTCATCAAGAGCCTCTCTTATGTACTCATCATCACCTGCAAGTTCTTTATTTGACTCAAGAGGATTTACCCCAAGGTCTACAATTTCATCAAAAGTAACATGTATAGATTCTTCAACATTTAAAGTTCTTCTATTATACACTCTATATGCTTTGCTAGTTAATGAATAACCTAAGAAAATGCCCTCATCGGCTTTTGAGTCAAATTTTCCTAAGTTGTCCTTTCCATTATTTAACACAAAGCATTTACATCCAAATATTTTCAAATGAGCAACATTAGGCTTTCTACCATTTAACAATTCATAAGGAGTTGATTTTATAATTGGCCTAATAAGCATCCTATTTAAAACATAACATGCAGTACTCATAGCATCAGCCCAAAAGTATTTAGGAACATTTGATTCATTTAACATTGTTCTAGCAAGTTCCTCTAGTGACCTATTTTTCCTTTCAACTACACCATTTTGTTGGGGAGTCCTAGGTGCAGAAAAATTATGCAATATTCCATTTTCCTCACAATAATTTTCAAACCTTTCATTTTGAAACTCACCACTATGGTCACTTCTTAAAACTTTAATTCTTAAGTCTTTCTCATTTTGAATTTGCTTTGCAAACTTCCTAAAGACCTTAAAAGCTTCACTTTTCAATGTTAAGAAAAATGTCCAAGTATATCTAGAAAAGTCATCAACAATCACAAGAGCATAATAATTTCCACTAAAGCTTTTTATCCTAGAAGGACCAACTAAGTCTAAATGTAATAATTCTAAAGGTTTTGATGTGGAAATAACATTCTTTGATTTAAATGACGATTTTACTTGTTTACCTTTTTCACATGCATCACATAATCTATCTTTTTCAAATTTTAACTTAGGTAAACCAACAACTAAGTCTTTTGATATCAATTTGTTTAAATGATGCATATTTATATGAGCCGCTCTCTTATGCCATAACCATGGGTTCTCTTTCTTAGCAACTAAGCATGTTATACTAGTATCATGTATACAATCCAAATCAATCAAATATATATTATTATGCCTAATGCCTTTCAATGCTACATTTTCGGAATCTATCAAATGTATGGTACAAAACTTACTTTCAAAGATTACCTTGAATCCTTTGTCACAAAGTTGACTTATGCTTAGGAGATTATGCTTTAGCCCATCAACAAGAAGCACATCCTTAATCTCCAAAGTGTTTGCACCACCTATATTTCCAATTCCTAGAATCTTTCCTTTATTGTTGTCCCCATAAGTTACATATCCTTGTTCTTTAGCTTTGAAATTCACAAATTTTGTTTAGAGCATCCACTATCAAGATACCACATAGACTTCTTTGATTTGGAAGTTTCCTACAAAACAAGAACATAGTAAACTTAGGTCCCCATAACTTTTGGGTCGTTGGGGTTAGAGACAAAAAATTCATTTAATTAAAGGAACCCAAATATATTTACCTTTAGGAACACCAAAATGTTTAATTTTACATCTATTTGAAGTATGACCATGTTTCATACAATAAAAACATGCTTTAGATGTAGCTTTTGAATATGATACATTTCTAACAATAGATGCCTTAGTTCCTTTTTCAACCCATACTCTTCTATTTTTAATTTTAGGCTTTTTCAAAGGAACATGATGGTTTACTCTATTTTGAGCAATAACAACTTTATCCTTATTATTATTACTTAATTCCTTCTCGGCTTTATCAAGCAAATGATTAAGTATATCAATGTCATATTCATACTCTTTACATGATGCACATGCTATATTCTTATCATCTTTTTCATCTATACATACAATTTTCGTTTCTAAGGTTTCCTTTTCCTCTAAACATGCAATTTTCGTTTTTAAGGACTCCACCTCCTTTTCGGATTTATTTAAACTCTTTTTCACAGCTTTGTATTCATTTTTCAAGTCCTTAAAGGCATTAAACAATTCATTATATGCATTTTGTAATTCATCAAAATTATTTTCATCATCACTTGAAGATGAACCGGAATCACTTACCTCAAAATCGGAAGATATATTGTCATTTGTCATTAAGAAAATATTAGCTTCTATTTCCGAATCACTTGACTTTGAACTCGAATCACTATTGTCCCAAGCGATGCAGGCTTTCTTCTTGAAGAACTTTTTGCCTTTGTTATCTTCATTTTTCTTGTTTGGACATTCGGTCTTCACATGTCCTGGTTCACCACAACCATAGCATTTGATATTTAAGGAAGTATTTTCTCTTACATTTCCCTTACCTTTGAATGGATGCCTTCCTTTGGCTTTCATGAATTTGGTAAATTTCTTAATCATGAGACTCAACTCTTCTTCATCATTCTTCGAGTCTTCTTCTTCCTTTTTACTCTTACCTTTGGAAATTTCAGTTTTGAAGGATAAGTTCCTCTTTTGATGTTGACCTTCTTCATCATTTAGCCTTCCTAGTTCTAGCTCATGCTCTCTCAACTTTCCAAAGAGCGCCGCCATAGACATTGTGGCAAGGTTTTGTTACTCCGAGATGGCTGTCACCTTAGGTTGCCATTTCCTATCCAAAGATTTCAAGATTTTCACATTTAATTCATCAACATAAAAAATTTTACCAAATCTGGTGAGATGGTTCACAATGTGTGTAAAATGCTTTTGAACGTCAAATATTGTTTCTCCTTGTTGCATTCAGAACATCTCATATTCTTGGATTAAAGAATTTTTTCGTGCTCTTTTAACGTCATCGGTACCTTCGTGGGTCACTCTCAACATTTCCCATATCTCTTGAGCACTTTTACAAATGGAGATCCTGTAAAACTCATCAAGGGTTAAAGCAGATGAAATTATATTTCTAGCCCTAACATCAAATTGAGCTTTTCTATTTTCCTCCGCCGTCCATCTAGAAAATGGTTTAGGAACATCTACTCTATTTTCAGAAACTTTAGGAATATAGGGACCGTTTAAAATAGCATCCCAAACACCTCTATCAACAGACTCTAAAAAGATTTGCATTCTAACTTCCAGAAAGGATAATTTTGACCCGCAAAAAGTGGGGGTCTGTTGATATAAGCACCCTCGGCAAACGTTTGATTTTGTCCAGCCATTTTCCAAAAATTGAATAACTATCGAAGAAAGCTCTGATACCACTTGTTAGAATCGCGCAGCGGAATGTTTGCGTGAATAGACAAAAACCAAGAGGGGGGGTGAATTGGTTTCTTAACAAAAGTTAGGGTTTTAAAATTTTCCCCAAATTTTACTGTTTAAAATGTTGTGTAAACGTAAATAGAGCAAGGATAGAGTCTTACACAGAAGATTTATACTGCTTCGGATCAAAAGACCCTACATCCAGTTGCTAATCACTCAAACAGAGGATTAACATTGTCACTATAATCAAGTTTTACAAACAGATAACAATTGAAAAGATAAGGTAATGAAAACACCTCTCTTGAGTCACACAAGAGATGAAGAACAACTTTCCCTAAAGACGGCACAACACACAATCCACCAAGAAAACCCACTTAGTGATTCTTATGGCTTCTAGCCCACACTAGGTTCCAAAAGCCCCTTTTCCCTCCAACAAACAGTTCTCTAGCAGTCACAGCTCTCAACTTTTGTTTGAAAATGCAGAGAGCCTTAGAGAACCTTAAGTAGACAGATTAGGGTTTGGGAATTGGGGATTTTCGAAACCTGGTGTATTGGGACTAGGGTTTTCGAAACTTGGTCCAATTTTAAAATTCAAAATGCATATCTGACTAAAATAATTGATTATCTTGAGTGTTAATCGATTATTACAGAGCCAAAATCAACATGAACCCATAACAACGCGTTTTAATCGATTAATTGCCCTGTTAATTGATTAACAACCCTATTAATCGATTAACAGGTGTGTTAATCGATTAACAGGTGTGTTAATTGATTAACAGGTGTGTTAATTGATTAACAGGTGTGTTAATCGATTAACAGGTGTGTTAATCGATTATTCCAGAGAGCTGATACAAAAAATTATTTTTCTCTCTGTAATAATCGATTATCCTGCCTTTTAATCGATTAATCTAGTGTGTTTTTGATAAAAATGAGTTTTTGAAGCTTCTAAAGAGTAGAATATGTACTGGCTATCTTAGACTCTAATATTACAGACTCAAAATCATCAAAACAGAGTTATTACATCATATTACAAGTCTTCAAATCTTTAAAACCTTTGTTCTTGAATCATCATCAAAATCTACAGGCTTCATATCCATGTATGTTCAACATTCATATCCTTATATGTTTCAACATCAGGTTGAGACCGCTGTCTCGCCTGGAAAGGTCGAGACCGCAGTCTCGCCTGGAAAGGTCGAGACGGCCGTCTCGCCATTCGAGACGACGGTCTCATCTTTGACAAATGGCGAGATGGCCGTCTCGCCAATCGGGAAGGCAGTCTCGCCATTAGCAAGTGGCGAGACGACCGTCTTGTCAAACGAGACGGCGGTCTCGCCCTTTGCTGATGGTGAGACGGCGGTCTCGACCTTTTAGGTGAAAATCCTTATTTTTTTTTGTACAAAAAATCTTCCTACTCTAATATGGGACCTATTGGTCTATCCTAAGGACCTTTTAGGCCTTTCCCATCTTCGAATCGGAGGTCTTCTATTTTTTATTTTGAGGCCGAGTAAGATTTGGGGTCTACAACGATTATAAAGAATTATATATATATATATATATATATAAAATCAATTGTTAAAATAATTTATTTTTATAACTATCTTAAACAAATTCTAATATGTTGTTTAAAAAATGCTAAACAATTAGAAAAATTAATAAAATTAAGTGGATGTACCGGAGTGGTTATCGGGCATAACTAGAAATCGTGTGGGTTCCGCCACGCAAGTTCGAATACTGCCATTCATGTGAAATAAATATTATATAGTATTTATTCATTTTTTTAGTTGTTTAACAAATATTTCTTTATCTATTTTATAAACAAAGATTATAAATAAATTCATCACATGAAATAAATAATATATTATGCATAAAGCGCCTAACGCTTCATTTCTTTAATTGTTTCACAAACAAAGATTCTAAGTAAATTCAGGGAGTGCTAATGCACAAAAAGCGCCGAGATAACTTATAAATTTAATCTATGAAAACTGTAAATGCAAAGAAGTAAAAATAATGAAATGAATATGATAATCAGAAATTGTGTTAATTCTCCAATCATAAAATTGTTTTATGATTATCATTGATTTTAATGGAATTGTCTTGCGATTACAAAAACAAATCTACAATAAATCCAATCAATTACAATTCATTTGAGATTCGTATTCACTGAATTCCTAAATGAATCAATCACTTAAACTTAGACGTTAAATTGTGATGTAAATGAGACATTTAATCTAATAACCTCATTTATATTGATTGTAATGTATTATAATCGCTCAGAATCATTAAAAAACAAATATAAACCATAGAAATCAAGTTTTAATTGATGAATCAACAAAAAAAAAGCGAATTAGAACATAATTAACAATTGCGAAACCAAAAATAAAATGAAAACAGTAAATAAATTTAATGGAAGAAGATGAAATAGAAAGCAAAACAAAAAAGTTACAAGAGGAAGAAACAAATATGATCAATAACATGTTCATCCCTACCCTAACATACATTATATTAAAATATTTTTTAATAAATTTGTTTAAAAATTGATACGATTATCGTCGCCGTCAAAAGAGGCGGTCGGAGCGACGCGATGGTTTCGACTTCCCGTTTTCACGTTTTATATGGGTGGGGTTACAATGCCTTTAGGTTGTCCGATAATCAGGGCTGGACCCAAGGACGAGGTTTTCGAAAGGGAGCTTTTAGGTTGTCCGGTAACCGGGCTGGACCTAAAAGCAAATTTTCGAAGGGGTTCTTATGGAGTCGCCACCGATGTTTTTACCGAAAACATCGGAAAAGGAAAAAAAAAAGAAGGCAGTGATTTTTGAAAAACCAACTTTGACCATTATAACCAGAGTTGGGTAAGGGAGTTAGTTACATGTAGGGAAGGTATTAGTTTCTCTACGATGCCCCTTTCGGGTTCCCTATGATAGGCCGGTTATTTTATAAACAAACTTTTAAAATGACGTTTTTACCTTTTTATTTGCGGAATTAAAAGATAAGGACTACATGGCCCTAGTAGCTATTGCACAAATTAATATAAGTAAAAGAAAGACAGTAAAAGGGAGGGAGATAGTGAAGAAACCTCTAGAGCAAGCTTTGATTAATTCTCTTTAAAAAAATAGGGTGCGTTTTTTCAGCCCTTCGCTTTACAACATCGACATTTCTCTCTTATGACGCTATAAAATCTCTCTAAAGACACTCAGAGATGCTTCGGAGGGGCTCTAGGAGAAGAATTCTAAGAAAATATAGAAGGAAAGGTGGAAGAACTGTGTGGAATGAAGGGGAGAGTGCCCCCCTTTTATAGGGATTCGCGGCTGTCAGGTCGAGACGACCGTCTTGCCATTCGGGACGGCCGTCTCGTCTTTGACAAATGGCGAGACGGCCGTCTCGCCAATCAGAAAGGCGGTCTCGCCAATCAGAAAGGCCGTCTCGACCTTTTAGGTGGAAATCCTTATTTTTTTTCTATACAAAAAATCTTCCTACTCTAATATGGGGCCTATTGGTCTATCCTAAGGACCTTTTAGACCTTGTCTATCTTCGAATCGGGGGTCTTCTGCTTTTTATTTTGAGGTCGGACAAGATTTAGGGTCTACAACGATTATAAAGAATTATATATATATAATCAATTGTTAAAATAATTTATTTTTATAACTGTCTTAAACAAATTCTAATATGTTGCTTAATAAACCCTAAACAATTAGCAAAAAATTAATAAAATTAAGTGGATGTGCTTAGGATTGGTTATCGGGCATAACTAGAAATCGTGTGGGTTACGCCTGTGCAAGTTCGAATCCTGCCATTCACGTGAAATAAATATTATATATTATTTATTCATTTTTTAGTTGTTTAACAAATATTTCTTTAGCTATTTTATAAACAGAGATTATAAATAAATTCATCACATGAAATAAATAATATATTATGCACAAACCCCCTAACGCATCATTTCTTTAAATGTTTCACAAACAAAGATTCTAAGTAAATTCAGGGAGTGCTAATGCACAAAAAGCGCCGAGATAGCTTATAAATTTAATCAATGAAAACTGTAAATGCAAAGAAGTAAAAATAATGAAATGAATATGTGTTGAATTATTGGCAAACGTACCAAAATTATCAATCGCAGTATAGTATTTCGATTCAATAAAAGTCGATCCCACAATGAACAGTTTCAATGGAAATTCCCAATTATATGCTTACTAAGTGGATTAAAACAGATTGGTTTTTTCAAATAAGAGTTGAATTGAAATTAAATGACAAAGAACTATAAATTATAGATAAAATATCAATTAAAGGTACTTAGGATTGGTTTTCTTCCTTATCCCTCTTTTGTAATGGTTATGTCAATTAAGAACGTCAATTAACCTAACAATGTTGATACCACCTACTCAATTCATCCATGTTGATTCCTCACACATGAAATTCATAAGAAAACCTAATAAATGTTGATTCCTCACACAATTAAGAGATTTCTCAGCATTAGGTTTAGGGTGTTAAGCAATTGATACATTCATTCCATTCCTGGCAATTAACGTAACAAATATTCTTACCATGATCTAGGGTTCAAGATATATTTTCCAATCATACCTCAAACAATCAAGAATAAATCATTCCAAAGCATAAAGGATAAGAATAACAACATCAAAGCATAAATTAATATCTCAAAATATCACCATGATACAAAAGAGTTCAAAGGAAGTGCATTGAATCCTAAGAGAATGAAGTTAGCCACTCATGTTGGCCATTATGCTCAAATTGTGGAAGAAGTGAAGAATTGATGAAGATTGGACGAAACCCTAGCAGCAGTCGTGCCTCTTCTCCTCCAAAACCGCTTACTTTTCTCAAAACACATTTTCTCTTTTTATTGGAAAAATTTGGGCTTTTAGGCTTCGCGTCTTTCGCTCGAGCAAGAACTTTCGCTCAAGCGAAAGTAGCCTTTTTTTCGCTCAAGCGAAAAAACGCTCGCTTGAGCGAATGAACTCCAGAGAAGAATAACTAACATTCGCTCAAGCGAATTTTCCTGCGCTTGAGCGACTGACTTCTAGAGAAGAATAACTGATATTCGCTTGAGCGAATCTTGGCACGCTTGAGCGAATCTTGGCTCGCTTGAGCGAGTGAATTCTAGAGAAGAATAACTAACATTCGCTCAAGCGAGAATCCATCCCGCTTGAGCGACTTCCATGTTGAAAATCTTCTTCCTTCTTCCAGTTTTACTCCAATTCTGCTGTCAATTATGCTCTTTACTCTTGTATCAAGGTATTCTTGAATTCATCCTATATTGGGAGAAAAATATATTAGAATTAGCACCAGTTAAGTGGTTTCATAACAATTCAAGATATAATTATATCAACTTTTTACCACTTAACAACTCCCCCCAACCTAGAATCTTGTTTGTCCCAAGCAAAGTAGTTTTTTCAAAACAAAATCATCGCCTATTATCACTTTCTCTTCCAGAACCACAACATAAAAAATTTCAGAGGTGATGCTCTCAACTTCAAATGAAAATAGAACAAATAAGCATTCAAGTTACAGAAACCAACAAAGAATAATTAGTCATCAACTATCCTTAGAGAAGCATGATCTCTCAAAAAGAGTTATATATACTCATCTCTAATTCTCACAGGTAAGTGTTTATCTCATTCAATCACATCATTTAGACAATCCAATATTGATAATCATCTTCAAGCAATCAACAGTTGTTAAACAAGACTTAAATCAAAAGGTCTTCTTAGGCTTGTAATGGGGCTGAGCTAAGAAAGAATCATTGGTTTTTCTAGGATATACAAAAATATTTGAGAAATTCAACTCATATGAATTATTCTTGATTAACAGTTCCTCAAGTCAGGTTTCAAACTTCATGCTTTTGTCCCTAACACAATGAAAGTGAGTTAAATAATCTCACAAGTTATTATTCCCCCCTTTTGACCTCTTTTTTCTCATGATTTTACATGTATCCTTTTTGGCTTTGTCATAATTTTTAAGCTTTGGTTTTCCTTTACACCTTTTTTTTTAGAATAACACCCCAATAATACCTGTAGGACAATAATAGCAATACCTAACAATAGGAAAAATAGTGACATTCATACTCATTTTCTTTCTCAAATATAGGAAATAAATAGTGTTTAGGCATAAGGGTTCTGTTTAATAGACAATATTATTTTTGGCTCATAAGGGATTCAAATGGATGTCCTAAAATTAATGCAGGGTTGGCTATTTGGCTCTGGTTTATATCTATTACAAAGAAAAAATGCCTTTATCATTTTCAAGTCTTGCCAACATGTAATCACATCAAAGAATCAACCAATATCAGTTATCAATCACAAAGTGTTGACACTCAATTTATCTATTTTTGGTACTCTACTCACCTAGGTTTTGGCTAGCTTCTCCAATTCAGTTATTTCCTAATTCTCCTTATCAATTCCTTTTCACTATCATGCTCAACATCCCAAAATCACTTGTTATTGGAAACAATCAAAATGATTTTTCACGTTCTAGATTTGAATTAGACAATAAACAATAATCTCATATATGGCTCTAAACAATTTATATGGGACAGCAATCCAATCACACAAATTTTATCATTCATCACATTACTTATGAATTCAAGATATTCAAACAAAACATCTTCAAATTAATTCAAATACACACCAAAATAAAAATCAAAATAATTAAAATAAATAAAAGCTTAAAAATAAGGTTCCTCCCTCTCAATCCTCTTCTTCACTTCCTTCCTCAGACGCTTCTTCTCCTGATTC